CACCGCCGCTGAGGCCGCGCGCCCCAGGGAGCCCGCTGCGGGCGCCCCGTCTTCGTCTCGGGAGGGGAAAACGATCCCGTATAGTTATCAAAAATGGTCTATGAAGTGCGTGTATTGAGCCATATTTTGGGGGGGGGGGAAGAGGAAAATTAATGCTTTTTAATTCAGAGAAGGCTTTTTTTTTAGAAAAGAGGTGTCATTATAAAGAGCTCTTCACACATACTGCTAATGAAATACACGTAGTACATTCATAGTGACTATTATAATCACTTGAGCCTCAAAAATGGGCATTTATAGAGGTACCGGCTAAATAACCAGCTTGCAAATTGGACTAGGACATGAGATAGACTATTTCTAGTCTTGGGAGGGCGAAAAAATGGCAGGGGATTGTTTTTAATGCCCTCTGAAATACAGTATATTTATTAAAGAAAATAACAAAGCAGAATTGTCCCATTTTAATGTACCTCGGGACAGGAAAGAAAACAGATGAAGCAATCAGCACAGCAACAGAAGCAGTGCAGGAGAATAATATTAAACCTATAAATCCAAGTTATCAGCACGTGAACGAATGATTCATCACCAGCGATACTTTGTGGGGCGCTGTTGCATTTTACCATATGATTTCTGAGGGTTCTCGTCACTGTTTCCCTCTGGCTGCTCCTCCCCGGTCGCAGCCCCCTGTTCCCTTTCTCTCATGGGTTTGAAGCGGGCACAAGGCATTGAAAGCCTTCCTAAAAGTCGAGGTTGTTGCTCCATTCTTAGCGCTGCTTTGGGGCGATTTCTGTCTGGCAGCGCAAACGCCCTCAAGTCCCCGGGCTGCGAGGGGCCAAGCAGCGCACGAAAGGGTGGGACGGTGCCTGGCAGACACCTTTGTAACTAACTCGAGAGAAAACCATGGCACTCCGGGCGCATCAGGGACCCGCTTTCCCGGCAGGATCCCACCCCGCAGGTATTATTTTCATCTTTGAGCACATGCATATAGATGAACACTGGCTGCGTGACTAGGCAGCCACGCTATTAATTAGCAGCGCCCAAGAAGGTGGGAGAAAACGAGACCCCCGGTGAGCCTTTGTTCTGGTACGGTTTTAGAAAATGGAAAATCTGGTGTCTGAAAGGAAGACGAACCCAGACTTGCTGCAGAGGTAGGGGTGTGAGCTGGGGACAGGAGCGGGTGCGTCCGGGCATCAGTGCACTGTCCTGCGCTAGGGCGGCGCTGAAGCCATCTCCGGCATTAGCCAGCAGCTCTCCCAAGTCGTTCCTCCTACCTGCGTGTCCCACCTGGCCTGCCAACAGCAACGGCAGTATGAACACTCCTACAGAGAGGCATTAAGCTAATTGGCCACAGAAACTGCCTCGGCACAAGTGAAGGTGTTTGAAACAGCCTGGGCTCTTGAACCTCCTGGCAGCCTCGGTGGGACACTACAAATGGGACCAAAACCAGCGCTGGCTTTACCGCAACAGGCCAAGAGCAGCTCCTGTGCAGGCACCAGCTCAAGCCCTGCACTGACAAGCAGAAGTTGGTTCAAGTCCTTCCCAAGAGCCACCGCCACGTGCCAGGGTGCTGCTCCTCCGCGAAGTGAAAAGCAGCCACGCATCAGCTATGGGAGTGGGTATTTCATACTTATTTTAGTGCTAGGTGCTGAAGCGCTAAGGAGGTGCTCGGGGGGGGGGGCTTTTGCAAACCCCCTCCCAACCCATTTCAGCCTGGTGCAGGGTTCGTGCCGGTGTGAGCCCCACGTGGCAGGAGCAGCATGCTACCTTGCGCCCCAGCACTAAGCGCCACCCCAGCCCCGGCAGGCGCTGGCGGCTACAGTGCATCCCGGCTCAGTAGCCCGGCTCTGCTTTGGCTGCGGTAGTGCTGGGGCACCCGAGGGCGCGCTGCAGTTTGGGCTCAGCTCTGCAAACCTTTGGCATTTGGGGCTCACTCTTTGGACTCGGTTCCCTGTTTGTAACCGAGGTGACAGCCCTGCATTGCCACAGCCGGGAAAGAGCCGCGGGAGGGGGGAGAGGTTGGCTCTACAACATCATTTCCACAGCAGCACCCATCAGCTAAAAGTACACTCTCCCAGTCAGCGCAGTAGGGCTCTCTCCCAGTCACTGGCAGGCCTGGAAAATAGATAGCTCACCCCACTTTTTTTTCCCCTCTCTAGTTGCTGACGTCTGATGCAGGCAATCGCTGAGAGATCAGCCTGGTAGTGTGAGTCACTGCTTTTAACCGAGGACCTGGTGCATCCCTTGAGGAGTCATTATCCCCATCCGAATCCAGGTGCCCAACACACTGGCTGCACACGCAGCCTTCTCGCCTTGTAGCCAGCTGGCCCAAGAGCTGGTGTGTCTCCCCAGCAGGGGTTTACACCAAACCCCGCGCGCGATGGAGTTACTCAGCACTGCTGAGGTAAACCGCACCCAGCCAGCGCCCTGCGAGCGTGCACCGCCAGGCCGGCCAGAGACCCATCACTCACGGAAGGCAGCGCAGCACGATACCACCGCACACCAGCGTGGAGGGAGTGATGAGAACGGGGCCGGCTAACTACACGTAGCAAGCGGTTTGTTAGCTAGAGCCAAAAACCATCCCTGTTAAATTCAGCACGTCTCGGAGATGTGCCGCCCAGGCAGATTACGCTAGTGCCAGGGAAGCGAGGGCACACACGGTGCTAGCTTGTGCCTGCCGCTGTAAAACCCAGGAACGGAGGGAAGGTGTTAGTGTTTATGAGTTAGATGATGCCCACAGTTTGTCGGGGCAGCACAGACACGCATAAAGCCATGGGCACCACGCAGCACTCAGGCGCTGACAGCCCAGCTGACAGCAGGCGCTGCGACAGCAATGCAGGGCTGCTTTGTGCCGAGGTGACAGCTCTACGGCCTCCAGGGGCAGGGAAAGCACAGACCGCAGCGCAGTGCCAGGAGACACTTGGGCCGCTTCTGGCCCACCTCGGCTTTTGGCTGGGCTCAGATACCCTTCGCAGTGGTGGACTTCAGCAGCTTACTGGCAACCAGGGACAGCCTCTGTCCAGCTCTGGGAAAGTTGTCTAAACCCCCGCCCCCAAACTCCAGCCCATCGGGAAAATGTCTATACTGAGCAGTGGAGTCTAGCACACCAAGGTAGCTCCAAGCATGCTGGTTAGCGTCCAGGGGTGGCATCCTGCAGAGGGACCACCGGTCCCCCAGTGTCATGCTGCGTTCAGATCAGAGGCAATAAGGCAGACACTTGTCTCGTAAGTAGTCATGCCTGAGTGATACTGGCTTTATATTAATGGTCACTTTAATACAAGAGCACATTACCTAAACATCGCTTCTAAACTAGGTGTCTAAGCTCCTTCTGAAGCCAACAGAGGGAAGCAGGGTCACCCTGACAGCAAGTCATCCCCTCTAGCGATGGGCTGAACTGCCCTCTGTCACTGCTGCCCTTTCCCTTGGCGGTCGAGGAACCAGGTGACCAGCCCCAAGCAGCTGCCTGACTTCAGCCAGCTTGAAATGCCCTCTCCCCTGAGCAGGAGGCTCTGCCTCCTCCTCGCTACACTCCTCCCTGAGCAGAACAGCACTGCAGAGATGGGGCTGCAAAGCTGGCCCAAGACCAGGGGGTGGGGGGGATGCAGGAGTCGCACAAAAGCATAGCCAAAAGACACATGGCCTTTGGGGTTGATAGCAGTGCTTCAGGGCAGCATTAGCATCCGCTCTAACTGGAAGAGACACAGGAGATGAAGCACGGGAACAGTGTGATCCACATGGGTGGACCTATGCAGTGGGCAAGCTTGTCCCTGCACCCCTGCTCTGCGGTGCACGCAGCGCACGTCCAACAGCATCCAGCCCCATCGGCCGCCACAGACAGCAAGGGCCAGCCAGGTGTTTGACGAGACCTCGCTGCTCTTTGTAAAACATTTCCCTGTGACAGTAAATGAAATGTCAGCGCGTTACAGTGGGATGGGTTAGTCTCCACATGCAGTCCTGTGTCTCATTTGAGATTATGATCCTAGCAAAAAGGTCATGGATTGGCTGGCCTAAAACGTGGGTCTCCTGTCAAACGACCATTATGTCTGACTGAGTCGGCTCGAATCCGAGAACAGAATATTCCCTCCACTAGGACTGCTATGTCCATGTAGCTGTTCACGTCTTCCCAGGAAGAAGAACAGGATCTACTTAGAGCAAATAGCAGCCATTACAATCAGGATAAATTAGAAGTGGTGAGTGGGAGAGAGAGAAGAAAAGGAAAAGAGGTTATTGTGATTTCTCTTCCTACAGAGTGGGTGTCTGAGCTACCTACATTGCCAGAAAACAGCTCCTTGGCTTCCCCTCTGAGACCAGAGCTTAGACTGCTCGATTACAGCTCAAGCGCTACTTCTGATTGTTAGCAGCTAGCAGAACGGCATTACGGGATGTTATACGCGTGACATCTGATTTCTGCTCCCACTGGTAACATCTCAAGTTTAGTGGCAGCACGGACAGGTCTGTACAGTGAGACAGGGCAAAACGTGCTTGTAGTTGCCCTGTTCTACACCTGTAAACACAAGCCTTTTCACCAGAAGCTGCAGCGCCTGTTGAGGACTAATTGTGGAGTGCTTTTTGGTTTTGCAGGGGGTAGGACGCTGTGGCTTTGTGTTGCTCTACCTTTTCCATTTTGTAAAATACAGGATGCCAAGTAAGTCACTAAATCCTGACCACAGTCTTGCAAAAGATTTCTGACAATAGATCAGCAGAAACGTCTCCCTTCCTTCTAAAATGATCATTACAGCAGGGCTGGTCTAGCTAATTCCTGTACACACCGGCAGCTGGAGGGGGTAGGACGCTGTGGCTTTGTGTTGCTCTACCTTTTCCATTTTGTAAAATACAGGATGCCAAGTAAGTCACTAAATCCTGACCACAGTCTTGCAAAAGATTTCTGACAATAGATCAGCAGAAACGTCTCCCTTCCTTCTAAAATGATCATTACAGCAGGGCTGGTCTAGCTAATTCCTGTACACACCGGCAGCTGGCTCACCACAGCCCAGAGACGAGGCCGGCCAAAGAAAAAGAAGAGAGACTCCTAAGACGACAAATAAACAGGGAGAGGCTTGAAGAAAAACGTAAACAGAAAGCTGCAGAAAAAACAAAATCCCTGAAAACTGGAAATCAAAATGCTAAAGGTATAGGAGGTATAGTATTTTAGCTTTTGGGGTTTTGTGGATTTTTGTTTTTTTTTTTAAGAGAGAAAAAAAACATTCAGGGAAAAAAATTGGAAGCCTAAGGGTTCCCTGGAAAAAAAAAAAAAAAAAGGATTAAGCAGCAAAAGATGTTGATGTACAAAACAGCCGAATAAAACAAACAAACCAACCTGGTGCTGAGCAGGCACACTCTTAGCTATCAGGAGCCAAAGTGTGTTTGTTTATTCAGTTTTTCATACACTGGTTTATTTGATACATTTTTTTTTTCAGTTAATTTAACAAGCCTGCAAAAATACAGCATTTCTGATTTCAATAAATCATCTTATTACATGGACTTATTTAGCCAGCAGTACTTCAATTTTCTTCTCCTTCAGTCTTGGTGAAGGATAGAGCTGAGCAAATATTTAGCAATGGATAATTAATTCAGCCACTTCTTCTCCCGTCTCCTCCGAGACACTCGCTGGATGCTGTTCAAGAGTCAGCAATTCTTTCTTTTCTTCAGTTCGTTTCCAAACTGTTCTTTCATGGCTTCTGATAGTTGTAATGTGAACAAATCTGAGTGGACATAGACCCCATTTTACATTTGCCTGACTAGGCAGAAATACTTCCTATTCTCTTGCTTTCTCTCCTGCTCTTGTTTGTAAGGTTCTTGGGAGAAAGATTTATATATAAGGCATAAACTCAAAGGACGCACATTCACTCTGAAACGTACAACACCCCTGCAAAGCAGTTGCCCAGCTCTACTTCAGATGCTGAGGTTTCCATTTTATTTCAAAATGATGCTGCCAAAGGGCCCCCGCCTGTAACCTGTCATCTCGGAGGCCTCCTCAGGCGCTGGGGCTGCTGCTGTGCCCGGCGGGGGATCTTCGCCCCGGGAGCTGCCCGCTGCTGGCAGCGCCACGCACCGCTCCCACGGGCTTCGCTGGCAGCTGCGTGCTCCTATTCGGGGACCTGAGACTCTTAAACGCCTTCAGGAGATACATAAAGTCCTATCTTCTTACAAAACTTTATTTAACCCGTTCTACAATGAATTAATAAAGACAGAAAACTCTCGATTGTTTGTTTTTTTTTTAATTAGCCCCAGTTCACGTGACCACAGACATATGCCTAGAGGCCTGAGCAGACTTTCTCTCTTACAAGCAAAATTCACAGATGACAAATGTCAGCAGCACAAGCCACATATACACAGGCCACGAGCTCCTCTAGTCCTCCTTATGGCATTGACAATAAAGTGCCTTACATTTTCTGCTGATAAAGTGCTTTCTACGTACGACATGAAACAGACTTGACATCACAGATTTTACCAGCTCAGATGCAACTCCGTTACAAACGTGAACCTGGTTTGGCAGTGTAATCTTTTACTCTGATAAAGTATTAAATACCAAAGAAAGCGTCTTAAGTTAATCAGGGCTCAATGTAAATAAACAAGCCACCAAAAGATTAACAAAAATCCTCAATGGAATCTGAAGGCAAAAATACTCTGCTCACAAAGTCTCAGGCCACATTCACACAAGCAACTACTCTGGGATAAAACTGGCCTGCTGACACCCTTTTCCTCTCTTTATTCGCACCTCCAATTAAAGACGACGTTAATTTTGTGAAACACCAACACAAACGTTTCCAGCTCCGTTGATGGAAACAGTAGCTTCGGCAAAATCATCACAACTGCATGCGCTAATGCTGCGCATGAGGAGGAGGAGCAGGCGGGTAACTCCATTTTTGCCATGCAGAGAAATCAGTCAGACCCTCCCAAAGCGAGACCCGACCGACCCTGCAGAGAGGACCCAGGCGTCACGGGCCGCGGCCGAAATCCGCCCGGCATGGGGAGAGCCCTGCGGGATTGGGAAGTGCTTGGTGTGAGAGCAGCCATCCTGCAGGTAAGTAACTTCATTACAGCAAACCAGCCGCTCTGCTGAGCGGGGCTCCTCATATAGCAGCTAAGTTATTCATATGCATAACTATTCACATGTTCAGCACCTAAACAGGCAAAGCTAATAATTTAAGAACTCTCACCTTAGGCCCAATATTGCTAGTATATCCCACAGGGGTAATAAATGACCAAACCTCGGTGACTAAAACATGCCAGGCTGGAGCCAATACAAAGCATCTTTGGGTTGACGTGCTATATCCTTCATGTGCTTCATTAGTTTAGTCAGTGTTTAATTCTGTTGTTCTATGGACTGTCTCTTAGTGCTTTCAGTTCTAGAACTGGTACATATTCAAGTATAATCCTTTTTCCCCATCACAAAAATATCTTCTTTCTTTATTTTTTCCCACAAGAGCTGGTGATCATCTTCCAAACTTCTTCATTTCATGAAAAAGTCTTGTTATTTTTAGCATAAATATTTTCATTCATTTGTTTTACAACCATCTTTGCTAAGCTGAAAATTTATGCTGCATTTGGGTTAAAAAATAAAATCAATACATTAAAGAAGAATATCAAAATATTCATGGAGCTGAAATCTAAGGTAAGATAGCTACAAAAAAATATTTCTCCACAACGTTTCACTTACCCTTAGGCAAAAATGATTCATTTTGACATGAAAACATCTAACACCTCTCTTGCTTGCTTTTTTGTTACTCAGACCACGCTAACGATAGCTATAAGGAGATCGACTGATGACGTAAGCAAAAACATTCTTTCTATTTAATTGCAATATGTACATTTAAAGAAGAAATTACAGAGTTGCATTTCAAAATGCATTCCTAATGCCACTCTGTCACTGTTAATGTGCCAGATGCGAAATTCTTGCCAGCTACTGCCAGAAAGATAATTCCAACCACTGACACAACTCACTGACCGGCATCGAGTGAAAGGAACACTGGAAGGGCAAAGAGACCCGTGGACGGCAGGAGACCCTCCAGTCCCTGTAGCTCTGTCAGCTCCACTTTGCAGAAGTTCACTCCCTGCTTACCTCTGCCACGATCTCCTGGGTTCCCCTGCAGCTTTGACCTTCCTTTCCTGATCCGCTGTGCCAGGCTAACATGAGACTCTTTCCTACATCGTTATTTCATATTGAAACGTTTTGCACACAA